TTTCTTTGGGGGTGTGGATAGCATTTTCCACCACCAGATCTCTGGATATGTCTTAGATCCTTGTATTGCCAGGAAGGGTTAAGTTTATCAATATTAGTCATCACGCAACGTGACTGTTATTGTGTACAACATTCTCTTGGTTCTGCTCACTTCACTCAGCATCAGACCATACAAGTCTTTCCAGGTTTTTCTGAAGTCAGCCTGTTCATCATTTCTTATAGCACAATAGTATTCCATCACATTCATGTACCACAACTTGCTCATCCATTCCCCAATTGATGGGCATCCTCTCAATTTCCAATTCTTTGCCACCACAAAAAGAGCTGCTATGAATATTTTTGTACATGTAGGTCCTTTTCCCGTTTGTGTGATCTCTTTGGGATATAGCCTTAGAAGTGCTATTGCTGGGTCAAAAGGTATGTACATTTTGATAGCCCTTTGGGCATCGTTCCAAATTGCTCTCCAAAATGGTTGGATCATTTCACAACTCCACCAACAATGCATTAGTGTTCCAATTTTCCCACATCTTCTCCAACATTTATCATTTTCCTGTTTTGTCATGTTGGCCATTCTGATAGGTGTGATGTGGTACCTCAGAGTTGTTTTGATTTGCATTTCTCTAATCAATAGTGATTTAGAGCATTTCTTCATATGACTGTAGATAGCTCTAATTTCTTCATCTGAGAACTATCTGTTCATATCCTTTGACCATTTATCAATTGGGGAATGGACAGATTATTATTTCAGGCCATTATTATGACCCAGGGAGGCATTTATAATGTGGGATTACAACCCTAATTTTCATGTTACCAAACAAATAGGAGAAAATATATTTTCACTGTTAAAAAGAATAAAAACTAGTCACTGGAATACTGGATCATTCAGGTCATGGTACCACTATGTTTAAAAAGTATTTTGTCAGCATCTAGGTCACTGAAACAATGTGCTTATTTTGGATGCCTTCCACCACTGCTTAGTCTGCCTCAGACCACAGAAAATGTATTTCTGTCAGAGAGACCACCCCACTGACCTTCCTCCCCATTTATAAAAGCTTCAACCAAGTCACATGCAAGTTGATTTGCAATATATCTTGCCTTCTCCACCTCTGTGAATGATCCAGCCACTAATGATATACATAAAAGGTTATCTGCATTCAAAATATGGAGAGTTTTTGAAACTGTTAAATCAGCTGTCACCCAGACAAGGGCATGTGTTTGTTTAGGGGTGAAGACAGAAGATGTAATTGATACCAATCCTCTACCCCCTGCCCAAACACATCAGGAATGAAACAATAAACCTCACAGTATTGCCTGGGCTTAGCATTGATTTGTTGTGGCTAAAAATTTCTCTCTCCAAATATTAAGATAGACAGGAGAATACAGCTTAGATTTGACACTGTGCCCTGTGGAAGCCCCACTTAGTGAAAAGCTACAGTAGAGTCTCTTAAAGCACTGCCAAATATGGAGTGAGGTTTAGTACTGCTAGTCTCTCCCTACTTCTATTCCTTGGGCATGGCTGGGGTCAGCTATACATTAAAGTGATAAATAGGCAGAAAAGTGCTTTAGAAAGAACCCTGGATCTGGAGGCTCACCTTTGTTGTGTGAATATGAATCAGTCACATTACCTCTCAGCCTTGATTTCCTCATCTGCAAAATGAGGATGATTATACTATATAAAGCCAAATTTCACAGGTGAGAAAATATTCTGCAAACTAGAATGTTTTTAGATATAATGATGAGTAATTGTGATGATACAGTGAGGGTTATCAGATGATTCTTGTTGGGATGTCTTATCAAGGAACCTCATAGCACCACTGTGGGGCTTGACCCCGAGACATATGTGCAAGTTCACAATCTCCCCCTTCTGATATTGTCATCGTCATTTCAAGGAAGGCTTAACTTAATTACTACTTGGGCACCTAGAGCAGCTACTGGAGAGGAGCCTTTGGGAAAACTCTCTCCCACTAGGATATCTATCCCCTGTTTCCTAGATCATTTCCCATCTACAACAGGCATCTATCAGCATCTGTGCTCTGTGCTCTGAGGAAGCAACAAATGTATAAGAACTTCACCTTCTCTTTTTTGATTTTGACTAGCACAGGATTAAGTTCATCATATATCTCATTACATTTTCTTACCTTCAAACTTACCTCTTTTTCAGAGTTCCCTATTACTGGGAAATGCAACATTTTACTTTCAGTCATTCAGGTTAAAAACTTCTATGTCATCTTCATCTCTTCACTTTCACCTAGCCCATATATAAAACCAGTTGCCAAATCTTTTCTATTTCTATCTCCACAACATCTTCCACATGCATGTCCTATCTATTCACACAACCATCTCAGGTTCTTTCTTTTAGACCTTCATTCTTTGTTACACTGTGTTTCTCTTTTTGATCTTCTATTGATCTATGCTACTACAATGATTATGTAGTTGTGACCTCCATTGAAGATATTTTCAGGAGTGCTGGGGAATGTCTGTGTTCTTTAAAACACCTCCTCTATCAGCTCCTGGATAATGCTTGAAATCTTTCACTTAGAAATTCATTATTCTGTCTCAATATATGATTTTTTAATTAAAATCCAGCCCAAAGAAGGGTCACAATTAAGCCACATCAACCAGACAAATTATGTCCTCAAAAGGTATATAGGATATAAAATCTTGAAGCCACTGAAATACTGAACAGGATAAGATTTGTGGGATAAAAGATCAGAGGAAGTACACCCAAGAATGGAACATTATGCAGAAAAGGAATATACAGGGACACTGACAACAAACTGACAACTTCTCAGGCCAGCCCAGTCTATAACTTTCTCCCATATATCTCAACTTTCTTTCCTTGTAATTTTCTTGTATTGTGAGTTAACCTGGAATAGTGGATTGAGACCTAGCCTTGAAAACAGGAAGATCTGAGTTCAAATGCTACCTCTGACACATACTAGATGTTAAAACTGGGGAAGTCACGTCTGATCAGTTCTCTAGGTAATGCTATATGACTATAAGTTTCAGAGAAGGCACTGACCTACCTTGGTAGAGGGAGTTTCCTCACCAAGGAATTCTCAATGCCAACAGTTCTTAAATTTTTTGGTCTCGAGATCCCTTTTTTATTCTTTTTATTTTATTTTTTATGTTTTTTTACATGAATTTATTAATTTTAAGATCCAAATTCTCTCCATCCTTTCAGGTCCTTCCCCACTTATTGAGAAGACAAGCAATATGATATCCATTAAGCATGTGAAGTCATTAAAATATATTTCCATGTTAACCATGTTCTCTCTCCCCTCCCTAAGCAAGAAAAATAAAGTGAAAAAAAATGCATGTTTCAATCTGCTCTCAGAGTTTACCAGTTTTCTCTATAGAGGCGAATAGGATTTTTCATCATGAGTCCTTTGGAATTGTCGTGCATCATTGTATTGCTTAGAGTAGTTAAGTTCCAGTTGATTATCATTACAATATTGCTGTTACTAGGTACAATATTCTTCTGGTTCTGCTCACTTTATTTTGTATCAGTTCATGTAAGTCTTCCCAGGTTTTTCTGAAACCATCTGCTCATCATTTCTTCTAACACAATAGTATTCCATCACCATCATGTATCAGTCTTGATCAGCCATTCCCCAATTAAAGAGCATCCTTTCAACTTCCAATTCCTTGCCAAAACAAAAGGAGCTTCTGTAATTATTTTTGTTCATATAGATCTTTTTCCTTTAAAAAGAAAAAAAACAAACAAACAAACCCTTTTCATTATTAAAAATTGTTGAGGACCATGCCCAAAGGGTACTTGTCTATATGAGTTGCATATATCAACATTGGAAATTAAAATATCTAAGTATTATTATGAAAATAGTATTGAACTTGAGGTCAACCTGAAAGGATTTCAGGGAACCCCACAGGTTTAAGGACCATCTCTTGACATCCACTGCCCTTTACCAATGAAATCACAAGTCTTATTTCTATCCCTAATCTTCCACCATGACCTAATCATCTTGTATAACTCACAGATTTTCTCACATGTGTTAACTTAAGATTTTCCAGTCAAAATACCAGGCCTAAGTTTGAGATCTTCAAGAGCAGTAAGGAATCGTTCTAGTTGTTTACAATTTCTCTGAGTGTCCAAGCATAGGTTTTTACCAAATAACTCCATAAAATTTGTTGATCTGACTTCAGGTTTAGTAATAGATCAGGGAAGGGAAGTCCCCATAGGCTAGGCAAGTCATGCAGCCCCCATGAAGGATTTGAAAAAAAAAAAAAAGGGTTACGATTTAAATAGACTGAGAAGACATTCTAAGAAGAGATAAATGAGCAAACACCGGAAGTGGGAGTGAAAATAGAATGTAGTAGGAGTGTAAGGACCTGTTTGACTAAACTGGGGACCAGTATTTCTGAGTCAGGCCTCTCTCTATGAATTGTGGGGGACAACACTGGCTATCTCTGGTGTGAAAAGATTATAGAATGCTATCTTTTTTTTTTAATCTTACCTTACTTTCTAGAGAGAAGTATGAGAAGCATTCCTGTCTTCCTTCACTCTGCAAGTTAGTGGTAGTAATGCTTTAATTTCAGGTTTTCTGGAGACCCACCAGCGACCCAAGATCAGTCTTTCAGCCAGGAGCTATGCTCAAAGCATAAAAATAATTTCTTGAAATGACTGGAATAGGCTAGAAAAGTACAACTGTGGTGAACCTAGTACCCAACACAGTTCCTTTCAGAGTTTCTTTGATCAGTATCTATCTGACTCTTGATTGATAATGAAAAGCCTGTACTTTTTATATAAATTCATCCTAGACACACAATTTGATTTCTCCACCCTAATCTCTCTCTCTCTCTCTCTCTCTCTCTCTCTCCCCCTCTCTCCCTCTCTCTCTCCCCCTCTCTCTCCCTCTCTCTCCTCTCTCTCTCTGTTTCTCTGTCTCTTTCTCTCTGTCTGTCTGTCTATCTATCTATCTATCTATCTATCTATCTATCTATCTATCTATCTATTTATCTATCTGTCTGTCTGTCTCTCAGGTGGCACAACATCAAGACAGAAAGGATTCCTAGGATGTATCCGCTCCTTACATTTAAATGGACAGAATCTTGATCTTGAGGAAAAAGCCAAGGTCACATCTGGAGTCAAGCCTGGATGCCCTGGACACTGCAGCAGTTATGGCAACCTTTGTCACAATGGAGGGAAGTGTGTAGAGAAGTATAATGGCTACCTCTGTGACTGTACCAACTCTCCATATGAAGGACCCTTTTGTAAAAAAGGTAGGCTTCATTCTTACAGTTAATGGGAAGTTAGCATGCAGCAGTAGAGGACCCATTGGGCTCAAATCAGGACACAAAAGTCATACTCCCAACTAATTAGCTGTGTGGTTATAGGCAAATCATTTAATCTCTATGTTTCAATTTACTCAGTTGATACATAAAGATAAATTAATTGGATAGGCTTAAACTAGGTAGAAGACATTTTATGAGGAACTGGATAATCAAATAGAGAATGTTAGCATGTTTCATATATTTGTTGTTAGGATAAAATGTTATAAGATGAATAAACATGTAAGTAATAAAAATACTATTGTTACTTCTATTTCTCAGTATTTTTTTAATTGCTGAGTCACCCAGAGCATCTCATTTTATAGCCTGCTATTAATACTCATTTATTAAACATACAGAATGAGACTTTGAAGATAACAAAATTTAGTCTACAGAAAACTAGGCTGGATGTCAGCCACCTCATTCCATTTCCATTGCTTACTAAACTGTGAGATTTTTTTTTTTAGCATTAACTAATCTCTATGGCCTTAAATATGAAGTTGTTCATATAGAATCATAGCATCATTTTGTTTGTTTTTTGTTTTTGTTTTAGAGCTTGATGGGACATTGGAGAACAATTAGTCCAAATTTAGCATTTTACAGTTAAGGAAACCCAGAGAAGTTGTGATTTACCAAAGCCACACAGTTGAGCTAACATCAGAAGTCTACCCTGAGGTCTGATGTTCTTTCCATTACCCTAAATAATGATGATGATATTGGAGGGAGGATATTATTATAGAAATCTAAGATTAGTTAGGTCCCATGATTTTAGGATTTCTCATAACTTGTTACACAAATGCAGGCTTACAGTTTGTCTTTGTATTATCTGTAAGATAATTGCATTGATGAAAAATGAGCTTTATGGATAAAGGATAAGACAGAATTCAAGGATATTGATTAAGTGTCATAAAGAACAACTATTTTAATCACTTTAAAGCAATATTTATATTCAAACATTTCATATACTAATTAAAAGTCTATTCATCAAAGAAGAACCTCCAAGGTTCTCTACTAAGCAATACTTTATTAACCTACCTCCTGTAACTCTTAGAATTTGAAAGTAGTAAAACTGATTGCATTTCACAATCCATTATAATTTACTACACTGGTGAGAGACAGCGCAAAGAGAGAACAGGCCTATAAGTCGGGAAACCTGGGTTAAAGTCTAGTCTCTGATACATAAAAACTCTGTGACTCTGGGCAAGTCTTTCAACCCCTTAATAATCTAGCCCAGTGATGTCAAACTCAGATAGAAATGATAGCAACTGAACTGTATTTAAGGATCACAGGGGAATCCAAATATTAACTTCTAAAACCACATATTAACATTGCTTATGTTCTGTTATTTTTATTTATTTTGTTAAAAATTTCCCAATCACATTTTAACCTTGTTCTGTCTCTCCAGAGATTGCTGCAGACTGCAATGCTGAGGCTTTGAAAACTCTGTTCTAGGCAACTCTCTAAGATTCTGAATTGTAGAAAAAGTGCAGGTCTGCCATTAATAGAGGGAATTTTCTCATCAGGGAGTTTTCAATTACCACTAAAATAATTGGTTAAGTCTGTGTGCTATATTTTAGGCTCTGCATTAATTCAGATTGACTTCTAACTCATTACCCCCTCCCCATATTATTGGACTTTGTGTAGTATAATAATTTCTGGGAAATAGGTTGTACTCCTTAGGAATATTGCAGAAATATAAAACAAAGTGTTGATTATTGCATGGAAATTTGAAAAAAGTCAAATATTGTCCAACAGACTTATAATCTGAGCCATGACAGTAAAAACATTAATGTCTTTCTACTGGAACTTGCCTGTGAATTACTCTCCCTGAAAAATATAGATTCCGCCGCTCATAGAATTCTCTGGTTTCCTAGAAGTTTCACATGCTGAAGAAGCACTCTACTGACGGTCCATTTCCCAAGACATATACTAGAGTCATTTCAAATGATATATGCTCAGATCCTTTGTCCAAATAAATAGTACTGGGGACCTTTCTGCATTTCTCTAGCTATGTTGTTCAGCCATCTCATAGATCTTATTGTTATAAATTTAGCTTAATTTTTCTCTGGTTCCTTTCTTCCAGACAACTTCGATTAATTGTTTTTTTTTTTCTCTCCATGAAGTCAAATTTTTCACAAGCACATGTTGGTATATCCTTTCTACTCTCATTTCTTCCCTTTTATCTTTTTTTTAAGTTAAATAAATGTATGTGTGCAGAATAATTTTCATCTTACTTCATCATTCACTCTACTTGATGGTTAATCACACACAAATAGCATCCTGCCATTCAGTAATTGATGTGTTCAGGAATTGGACATTTAAGCAATAGGACAGAAGAGCTTACCTAGAAATACATAAGTTTAGAGTCCAAATCTACTTCCCAATTCATAAATCCCCATTACTGTATTCAGCATAAGTGATCATTCAACTTCTACTTATAAGCCTCATCAGAAAATCCCCTACCTAATATGACAGCACTTTCTATTTTCAGCAAAATTTAATTATTACAGTTTTCTTCCTTATATTAGGGCAAAAATCTACTTTTATGTGTATATGCTCCAGCTTCATAATGACCTCCTTAAAATGTGGCTCCCAGAATTGAACATAACACTACAGATGTTTTCTGACCTGAAGAGTATAAGAATATATAGGAAACTTAACTCCCTACTGGTTCTCTCTCTCTCTCTCTCTCTCTCTCTCTCTCTCTCTCTATCCCTCTATCCCTCCCTCCTTTCCTCCCACCCTCCCTCCCTGTCTGTATGTACATACATGCTTTGCTTTTCTTTGTAATGGATATTGAACAATGAAGTTTTATTTCTAGAATTATGCTGCTATAAAGTAGAGAACTGGGCCCCCTTTGCAACATCATCAGGCACTTCTAGCCTCTTCCTCTCTACCCACCCCTATCTTTTTTTTTTCAATTTAAAAATGTTGTATAGTCTTCAATCTTCTAAGGATTCCAACATCAACTCTACTTTGCATGAATAGTTGTCCTCTATCCTATATTTATATAGTTGTTTGGTTGTTGTATATCTAACCTAAGTGTAAACATTTACATTTATCACTATTAGATTAAACATTCTTAGCTCCAGTTCATGATTATAGCTTATTAAAGTTTAGATGAGGGGAAGTTAGGTGGCTCAGTGAATAGAGCTCTAGCCTTGGAGTCAGGAGGACCTGAGTTCAAATTCGCCTCAGACACTTGATACTTACTAGATGTGTGACCCTGGTGTATGTCATTTAACCCTGATTGCCTCACCAAAAAGACAAAAAAAAATAGATTTAGATGAAATTTTCTTTCATCCAGTATATTAGCAATCCCTCCCATCTATGTCATTTGAAAATTTGATAAGCTGCCATATGACTTTAGTCATTTACAAGAATATTAAATAGAACAAAGTTAAAAACAAAGCTTTGCAACATACCTCCAGAGATCTTCCACTGTGTTAACATCAATTGATTAACCAACATTCTTTGCAAATAGTTCCTCGGTAAGTTGTTGAAAAACATCCAATTCTTTATTTTCTATTTTGACTACAAAGATATTGCTGAAAATTACCAATTATGTTGCTTAAATCTAAATATATTATATCAATTTCATTCCTCTGATTCAACTCTGCCCCTCCCCCAATAATAAGTAAATTAAATAAGTAAAAACAAGGTAAAAGGAATTTAAAAAAGCAAGCTTAATAGAACAGAGACATGATGTTGTGGATAGAATTCTTGATTTGAACTCAGCAAGACTCAAGTTCATTTGACTCAATACTGAGTCAAATACATCTTAGTCCTTTAATCCTGGGGTTTTTTGTTTGTTTGTTTGTTTTTACTTCTCTGAGCCTCAGTTTCATATATAAAATGAACAAATTGGATTCTAAAGTCCCTTCCAACTGTAAATGTAAGATTTTATGATCTCAGGAGATAATCCCTTCCTTTTTTAACTAATCAATCCTTCATTAGAGCATAATAATTTTTATAGCATACCCTCAAGGCTATATTTTAGGCAATAATGTGTATTCCAAGTAGACAATGAAATGTCTATGCATGCTCTAAAGACTGTCTATTAATTGGCCAGCCTCCCCTCATCACATGATAATATGACTAAACAGTGCTTCTTAAAGGTTCAGTATTTCCATAAATGTACCATAAAAAATTATAGACAAATTGAAATTAACAAATTATTTGTTTGATATACATTTTCCATACTCTCAAAATATCTTAGATTCTTTTTTTAATACAGTATTTTTTCTAATCACATGTACAAGCAATTTTTAACATACTTTAAAAAATTTGAGTTCCAAATTCTCTCTCTCCTCTCTTTTCTCCCCTATCCCTTCATTGAGAAGGCGAGCAAGTTGATAGAGGTTATGCATGTGTAGTCATTGAAGACATTTCCATAATAGTTAAGTTGTGAAAGAGAAGTTGGACAAAAAACAAACAAAAAAAAAAAACAAGAAAAGTAAAGAAAGTTTAAAAAAATGTATGCTTCAATCTGCATTCCAACTCTATCAGTTCTTTCTCTGGAGGTGGATAGCAGTTTTCATCACACATCCTTCATAATTGTTTTGGATTATTGTGTTGATGAGAATAGATGTTATTCACAGCTATTCATCATTACAATATTCCTGTTACTGTGTACAATGTTCTGGTTCTGCTCACTTCACTTTATATCAGTTCATGTAAGTCTTTGCAGTTTTTTTTTTCTGAAAGCATTCTACTCATCATTTCTTATAGCATATTAGTATTCCATCATAATCATATACCACAAGTTGTTTAGCCATTCCCCAGTTTATGGGAATCCCCTCAATCTCCAATTTTTGCCACCACAAAAAGAGCTGCTATAAATATTTTCTTTATATATAGGTCCTTTTTTTAAAATATCTTGGTATGCAGACCTAGTAGTGGTATTGCTGGGTTGAAGAGTATGCATTGTTTCATAGCTCTTTGTGCATAGT